CTTCCTTCCTTCCTTCCTTCCTTCCTTCCTTCCTTCCTTCCTTCCTTTTTTTTAAACAGGGTCTCTCAATGTAGCCCTGACTATCTTGAAACTCATTATGTTTGCCTCTGCCTCTGCCTCCCCAGTGGCAGGATTATAGCATGTGCCACCATGCCCAGCTTAGACTTTTATTTATTATCACAAGACTTTATGTATTTCCTTCAAAGATCTTCAACTCCTCTGCTATCTGCTTCTTCTACAAACCTGTGGCACCTATGCCATAAAAGGCTTCAACTCATAAACCCTAACATTGGGCCAATAAAAAAAGTATTTTCTGAAAAAAATTAACTAAAAATTTTAAAATCCCACTAACAGTAAGAAACTTCAGTTACCATCTAATCCAATTCTACTCTCAAGATTAAAAGAGGTTCCCTGAAAATACAATGAGTCCTCAAGGTCACAAGTACTGACCCCAAACATCAATACAAGAATCTAAAGCATTCTAACTAATACTAGAATGATTCTAAGTATCTTGGGGAAGTAAGTTCACTGAATAAATAAAAGGACACAATGGAAGCAGGGAACAGCGAAGTGGAGTCTACTTCCTCCCACTGTATAGTCTTAGTTGTGTGCACAGCAGCACCCCCACTTAAGCAGTAAAATCTAAGTGCACATCTCACTCTTCTAATGTACCACTTTTTTACTAATCACCAAATAACACAATCTCTTACGTGAACACACTAATTTTCCAAAATCAGGTCTACTAAAAATAAAAATGGCTTATCTTTACCTCGTTGTTGGTATAGTGTAGATCCATAGACTGCCCAAAGGCAATTTTAGACTTAGACCTCAGATCTTCTAGTTTAACTGGTCTAGTAACCTGCAGGATTCTATACAAAAATAATTTTTAAATATTTTGTCAGAAACAATATACTTACAATAGTTCCATTTTGTTAGATAAAAAAAATTAAGTAAAAGTTATAACAAACTATAACTTGATCAAATATAGAAATTTTCAAAACAAAATTTATGATTAAAATGTGTTTTATTCTAATTATAAAGATTCTCCAAGTTTTGTTTGTTTGTTTGTTTGTTTTTGTTTTTCTTCCCAAGACAGGGTTTCTCTGTATAGCCCTGGCTGTCCTGGAACTCACTCTGTAGACCAGGCTGGCCTCGAACTCAGAAATCCGCCTGCCTCTCCCTCCCAAGTGCTGGGATTAAAGGCCTGCGCCACCACTGCCCAGCCAAGATTCTCCAAGTTTTAAATTAACAATCACATAAATATTAAAGCTCAATATAAAGTGCTACTTAAGAAAGTGTTTAAATTTAATTAACTATGTGACATATGTGTAACAAAATGCAATGACACTGTTAAGAATAGTAAGTTCCTCATCCTATGGAAATCAAATTCTGATTTTTGGATCCTTATCAATTCAAAATCTTAGCACATATTTTATGTAAGCATCTCTAAGACATCATAAAAGAATGAAGTGAAATAAAATGATGGCATTTGCTTCCTCTATTCCTAAGGCCTGGCCAGCCCAGGGAGCATGCACTAAGTCTAGAGAATACCATATCAGATTATTAGCTTCACAGGGATGAAACCACTTCCGCATTCACTTTATAAATCACATACTAGGTACAGAGCTGAAGGAATGGAAAAGCTACCAAACATGTAGAAAATAATCCCAAATAAGGAATAGGTCAGACAATAGTTTATTGACATGTAAGGTATATTCGTTTTCCTTTCTTTTTTTTTCAGTGCATCTAGTGAAACATGTCCATACCTTCAAGTTATAGGACTTGTGAGAAATTTTAGATTCCTTAAGATTAGCAGGCATTTTACTAATACAATGAGACACTAATAACAAAACAATTATCTTCTGTGCTCCTGTGAGGTCTTTTTGTCAGCCCTCACCAGCTGCACTTTCACCCTGAGGCAGAGACAGCAGGAGACACCAGGCACAGATGGCTAAGCTTACATTCCTGCTGGTAAGTACCTGCAGCCACTGTTCCAACTCACTACTACAATACTATTAACAAGATATACACCACAGCATTGAAGCCTTTTGAGGATAGTCAAAATTTTTATCTAGTGAACATAAAAGTAAATAGTAAAAATTTAAACTGTGTATTATGAAGCGATCTTATTTACTTTCTAATTTCGCAAAGCAAGCACATTCAGTATTTCCAGTGGTTAGCATGCATTCTGACATACCCTATTTCTCACCAGTCTAGGTGCATGTTACCCATTACCAAAGATTATTTCATTTCAAAACCACAAAACTTCATTCAAATCTAAACGAATCCTAACAGCTTAACTAGAATACACATTTTATTATATGATTTAATTAATGTGTAATATTTCCTTGCTTACCTTTTTTCTCCTCTATGTTCAAATTTGACTCGGACATCATTCTATAATAAAATAGTATCAGTTATAATCATGCAGGGACCAGATAAATTTTTAAGTCATTTTTTTCCTTAGTCTACTCATTTAACACAGAGCAGAAGAGAGGGGGTTTCATTTTCAAGGTGCAATTCCAATCACCTAATGTCTGCCAAAAAGCTGAGTTGAGAATTACATTGTCACTTCTGACAACAGGAATGAACACCAATATCTACTCATGCAAGAAGGACCTGAGCTAAGGAAATGCAGAATGTTCTCCTGTTGTCCTTCCTCTTCTGTGTTTTAAGACCTCTGAACATATGCTTGTTGGTTTGCTTGTCTTCCTTGTTAAGTTCAAAACTTTCACTTCTTCTCTTAAAGGAAGTACTTTAAAGCTTCTTTTCTGCATATTCAAATTGTCAGTACTTTACTCTCATATTTCAGTAGTCAATCCCATAACTTAAATAGCTTCTAAATATACAACATGGATACAAACACAGAAGTATACATGTCCTAGAGTAAAGCAGGACAATGTGAGGTTTCATTAGGCGACTTCAAATGGCATGAAATTTAAAATATAGATCTGCTTATGTCTACAGCATTCCATCTGTTATTTTCTGATCTAAGCTGACCATGAACAACGAAACTGTGGGAAGAGGGAACTCTAGTATTTCACTTTCTATGCTTTAGCTCATGTTAGTCTTGTTAACAGGGATCAAATCACCCCAGTTATAAGTATCCAGAAGAGACTTCTAGGGAAAACAAACAAAATAAATTGTTTATCTTGGGTAGTAGTAAAGAATGCATGAAATAGTAACTTTAGCAAGCAGCTACCACTCAGCTTTTAAAAATGTATATTCATTTTTTTCTTGTCACTATTTTTTAAATACTATACTTACACATAGCACTTATATTGCATTACGTATTAAATATAGGTATAAAATTTAAAATGTACTTATTGGATAATGCACTAAGAAACACAACATTTAATTCAAGATATAAAAGAAGTCTATGAAATGAAAGTAATTCAGCCAGGCAGTGGTGGCGCACGCCTTTAATCCCAGCACTTGGGAGGCAGAGGCAGGCGGATTTCTGAGTTCGAGGCCAGCCTGGTCTACAGAGTGAGTTCCAGGACAGTCAGGGCTACAGAGAAATGCTGTCTCGAAAAAACAAACAAACAAACAAACAAAAACAACAAAAAAAAGAAAGTAATTCAAAGAACAACAAAATACACTTATTAAAATACTACTTATATTGGAATTAGAAAGAGCGCTCCTTGGTTAAGAACACACACTGCTTTTACAGGGGACCAAAGTTCAGTTCCCAACGCCCATGTCAGGTGGCTCAGAGGCACCTCTAACTCCAGCTCCAATGGGATCCAGGACTGCTGCTTTCCATGGGTACCTACAATTTCATGCACAAACTCCCTCAGAAACACATTCATGTAGTTTAAAAGTAAGAAAAATGAAATCTTTTAAGTATTACTGAATAAATACCTGTTTTTTTGGTGATGAAGGTTTTGTTTTTCTGGTTTCTTGTAAAGATAATGCTGGCCGACTGGCCTTATGAAGGACAGCCAAATCTTGCATGATTGAATTCAAAGCTTGCTGATCATCTGGGTATTTAAAAAAAAAAAACATAAATACACATACATTTTAAAAAGAACTCTAATGTCAACATATATTTATCATACTCATCAAGCAGAATTTATAATGGAATTTAATAAATAAATGAATTAGTTGGACTGGAGAGATGGCTCAGCAGGTAACAGTGCCTGCTGCTCTTTCAGAAGACCCAAGTTTGGTTTCTAGCACTCCCATTGAACAACTTACAACCATCTGCGACTCCAATCCCAGGGAATCCTTTACCCTATTCTAGCTTCCCCAGGTACCCACACACATGTGATACACACTCATAGATAAAATACATCCTTTACTGTTAAAAACAAGGTCTCTGTGTAGTCCTGGAACTATGTACATCAGGGTGGCTCTGAACTCTCAGATATCCACCTACCTCTTTTTACCAAACAAAATGTTAATTGTGTTACAAGAAACATACACACATACACACACACACACACACACACACTCACCCCACCTCTGAGAAAAACATCAAAACTGCTTAAGTCTCAAGCTCCGCATAAACTAGGCATCTACACACGGGACATTTTTGCTTTAAATATTTTTTATTTTACTTATTTTCTATATTATTTTTAACTCTGTGTATGCGTATATGTGTGTGTGTGTGTGTGTAGGTGTGTAGGTGTCTGTGTGTGGATAAGTGTATATGAGTGCAGGTGCCCACGGAGGCCAGAGGTGTTCCCTAGTGCTGGAAGGTGGCTGTGAGTCATCTAATGTAGATGCTGGGAATAGAACTTAGGTCCTCTGAAAGAGTAGTATGTGCTCCTCATAGCTGAGCTCTCCCTCCAACCCCATTTATAAGAGAGGGAGGTAAAGTTATTCTAATTCGTTCAGTGACTTAACATCCTGAGTCAAAACAGCCCTGCTAAAACAAATTCTTTTCTATGGCTCCTAAACAAGACACAAACCAGATATCAAAGACCTTAATAATAATAAAAAAAATATGAGGAAAAAAATAAACCTTGTGTAAACATAATCTTCCTTTACCAACTATACAAATCACAGACTTCATTTTAGAGATGTTTTCTTCTTACTGTTACTTACAGGAAAAAAAACAAAACAAAACAGAAAAGCTCCATCTATGGACGATGGCCTACTAATACTTTGAAGGTTTCTCTCAAACTTCTTCTCAAGACTACAAACATAAAAAAGTGTTTATCGGGCTGAAGAGATGGCTCAGCAGTTGAGAGCACTGGCTGTTCTTCCAAAGAACACAGACTGATCTTCCAAAGGATGCTAGGTTCAATTGCCAGCAACCACATAGCAGCTTACAACTGTCTGTGGCTCCAATTCTGGGGGATCTGACACTCTCATACAAGTGTACATACATGCAGGCAAAACATCTATGCACATAAAATAAATACATCATTAAAAAACTAATAAAAGTATTTACCAAAAAGACCAATAGCAATTTAAAAGTAACAATGTGAAGCTGGAGAGAGGGCTTAGCAGTTGCAAACACTGGCTCTTCTTGCAGAAGACCAGGGTTCAGTTCCTAGCACCCATGTGGTGACTCCAGTTCCAGACAATCCTCTGGATTCTTGTCTCTTTTATACACCACAGGCACCAGACACACATGTGGTGCATAGACATATAGCCAGGCAAAACCTCCACTTACACACAAAAAAAATGTTAATCAAAAGTAAAAATGTAAGAAAAATTCATTCCTTAGGAAACAGAACCCAGAAAACTAAAAGAAGGACTATAAAGCATAAATTTTTAGTGTCTTCCAAATAGTTTTCCTGTAAAATCATAAACATGTACCCTATCTAATGCCAATCACAAACTATCTGGAAGACTATGAGACAACAGATTTTTGCTAGTAAATCAATCTACTAATTTAACAACAGATAAATCAAAGAATCAAAGGTCTTCACAATAAAAAATTTTAAATGTAGCCATTATTCTGAGCAAAAATTTATCTTCCTGGAGTAATAACAAAAACTGTTCTGTAAAAGAAATTATTAAAAGGAATCTGTAATTCAATTGTCCCAAAAGTCATTCAACTATATAAATAGCTAAAATATATCCTTTGCTGATTTTTAATATTCAACATAGCCTATAAGTTAAAGTATCTAGTAATTAAGTAAAATCGTAATGCTTTTATTAATAAATTCCAGGTTAGGTTATTACATTTACTATTTATTTGTGTGGGTGGGTGTGCACTACAGTGCTTATGTGCTTATAGGAGTTGGTTCTTGCCTTTCCCCATATGAGTCCAGAGAATCAAATTCAGGTTTGTCAGACATGGTTTCAAGTACCTTTGCTATCTCACAGGCCCCAAGAGAAAAACAATTTAAGATTTTTTTTTTTAATTTATGTGTATATGTGTGTACCTGCCTGAGTTTGTGTGTGCCACATGTGTGCAGGTGACCATGGAAGCCAGAAGGTTTGAAGATACAGATGGCTATGAACTGCCTGATGTGATGCTGAAAACTGAACTTGGGTCCTCTTTGAGAGCAATGAGCACTCTTTAACTCCTTAGCTATCTTTGCAGCCCTTAGAGAAAATATTATAACCTTCTTAAAAGCATCTTTTATAAAATATTTTTTCATGGTGTTTGCTTAGTCAAACAGTAACTGACTCGGTTATAATGTAATCACAAATAGTATGCCATAAAAATGTTCATACCAGACTGTCCATTCTTGATAAAATTTGTCTCAATTTGAGGAAGCTCAGACTGATCTCAAATAGAGTAAAATCACTTGGTATGACACTCTTTAACAATGTTAGGATCCTTGGGGCTGGAGGGATGCCTCAGGGTTTAAGAGTACTGGTTACTCTTCCAGAGGTCCTAAGTTCAAATCCCAGCAAGCACATGGTGGCTCACAACCATCTGCAATGGTTAAAAATCAACTTACTATATAAGTTGAAGTACAGTGAATAAGAAAAGTGAGAGGCAAACAGGAGTGAGCGAGAATGTATGCAGTCTGGAGCTATTAGAAACTTGCTTAGAGTGGAGAGGCTGGGTTCCAGAGGGTACCACATGCAAGGCACCATGTGCGAGGCTACCAAGAGGTGGAAGAGAAAGAAGCAGGAATGTGGAGCTTTGGGTCCAACTACATACAGTGAGAGTACACTAAGCCTTCCAAAACAAGACTCATCTAAATGTCTTTTTAACTCTACCACCTACATTGTGTGTGTGTGTGTGTGTGTGTGTGTGTGTGTGTGTGTGTGTGTGTGTGTGAGAGAGAGAGAAAGAGAGAGGGGGGGGGTGTGAGAGGGAGAGAGAGAGAGAGAGAGAGAGAGAGAGAGAGTGTGTTTTCTTAAACAGTTGGTTAAAAAGTGAGACAAACTTTGGCAAGTAAATGTCAGAGTTATCAGGATCAATCTCAGTTTAAAAACAGCATACAATTAATTACTCTGTCCACTTTTCTCAATTTAAGGTCAGGCAGACTATTTGCTCTACTTCTAATGTCTGTCTAATTGCTGCCTCAGAACAGAACCCTCAATATTAAGGAGAAAAGGAGACAGAGAAAAAGAGAAAGTGATGGGTGCATAAACTGAATGCCTGAAATCCATCCCTATTGGGCATACTGCTTCTAAATTAAACTTACAATGCCACAGAATATTGCAAAAGAAATTGTCTCTGCACATTGATGACTTGATTATTTACTCAATTATAAAATCTGATAACTTACCACCTTAGTTTCTAAACAAATCACAAACACCTGAGCACTTACTTTCAATTTCTCTACTGGTACCTGCAGCAAATGCTCATTCCAAAACTGTCACAACAGAAAAAGTACTTCAACTCAAAACTACTTTGTTTTGTGTTAGTTTTGGTGGTACCTGTTACTGAAGCCAGGGCCTCACAGATGCTTAACTATTCAAGCATTCTCCTACTCCCTAATGCTTCAGGTCCATTAAGTAAAATGTTAACTACATCTGTATCACACGTGACATAAATCTCCTGTATCATAAATTTCTATATAAAGTTTATTGTAAGATAAATACTTTATTCTTCATCCTATTCTTTTAATTATAATTTTTTTAAAAATGCTTTTAGCTTAAACTTACCCATTATGGCGACCAGCTCAATAATTTGAAAATTAGGAAAATGGTTCTCCCATCAACATTCTTTATTGCCCTAAAAAGTAAGAAGACAAACACATTAATTAGTAAGAACTAGAAGAGAAGAGGCAACCACAAAAAAAAGTAATAAATGTGTGTGTGTGTGTGTGTGTGTGTGTGTGTGTGTGTATAAATAACACTAATGAGGGATATGTGTATGTGAGTGGACACTAGAAATAATTTATAAGTTTTTCAAAATACGTAATACTAGGGAGCTGAGCATGTAGGTACCCTACCCTTCCCTAGCACACTAAACTCTTAATATTCAAGAAGAAAAGCAGGTGATCAGCAACAAACATACTGTTTCTATAAACAGCTTAGACAAAATGAGCCCTTATCACAACCCTCCTTAAAACTCAGTTCCTGGGTGCCATTTTGTAATCAAACCTTTCTAACAATATGCAGTCTTCCTGCCATATTAATTTTAACAACAATGGGAAAATAATACATTGTTAAAATTAAAAAAATACATGAAGAATAACTGTAACACTGGTCAGTGGAGGTGCATTACCTTAATACCAACACTCAGGAGACAAAGCAGAATCAAAAAAAGGAATAATTATACCTGTTGCTCAGCACAAAATATATATAATTTGTATAAATGTAAGGAAGAAAGACACAAGTATGTGAGTGTGTATACTCCTGTCATTACATTGGTATCAACCCAACTACAGTGTTTGGAGTTATAAGGATATTCACTGTAGTCCCCATATGAATCACTAAAGAGTAAATCAAAAATAGAGCAAGAGAGTCAAAAACGTAAAACAGCAAACTACAAAACACACACAAAAGGTGATAATGTAGAAAATGAGGGAAAAAATGTGACACACAGAAAACAGAAAATAGTAGACAGATATACTTTATTAAATTATATTAAATATAAATGGAATAAAAACCAGTTAAAGGCAAAGATTACCAGAACAAATTAAAAGCAATTTTCTAACTGATAAACGGACAAATTTTAAAATCAAAGGCAGGCCAGTAAGGGCTACAAAGTAAAAAATAATTTCAATAAAATACTAGCAAACTTAACCCATAACATTAAAATAGAAGTATTTGTGGTAGTGGTGGTAGCAGCAGTAGTAGCAGTAGCAGTAACAGCAGCAACAGCAGGAGACACTGAGATGGAGACAGAGACTACAGAGACGAAGGAGACGGAGGAGATGATGATGATGATAATGACGATGAAGAAGACAAAGAGGAGGAAGAAAAGGAGGAGGAGGAGGAAGAGGAGGAGGAGGAGGAGGAGGAGGAGGAGGAGGAGGAGGAGGAGGAGATGGCTACAGAGATAGCTTAGTGGTGAAGAATATTTCCTTTTCTTGTAAAGGATCTCAGTTCAATTCCCAACAGCCATATGGTGGCTCATAACCATCCACAACTCCAGATCCAGAGGATATGACACCTTCTTCTGACCTCCCTAGGGACCAGACATGCATAAGGTACACATAATACATATACACATACATATATAATACATACATGCAGGAAAAACTCTCATACATGAAATAAATAAATTTTTTAAAAAATACTTAAAGGATTTCATACTGCGATATATCCAATATAAACAAGGTAAGCTCAACACACAAGAATAAATACAACAAACTACATTAATGGAGTAAATCCACATCACATGAAGGTCTCAAATGCATCCCCTCTAGCATAGAATACCAATACTGGCTTGCTTCTTTGTTTTGTTTCAGTTGTTTTAACTCATTTCTAATCAGTTCTATCTGTATATATTAACAAATAATATTATGGAAAAGAAATCAATTCTACTGTAACAATAACATAAAAAAGAAAAGTGCTTAGGAATATACTTAATAAACTCAAAGCTTGTATAGTAAAAACTACAAAACACTGCTGAATGAATTAAAACCAGGAGTGATGGTACACACCTCTAATCCCAGCACTGGGAGGCAGAGGTGGGCATATCTTTGAGCTCAAGTCCAGTCTGGTCTACTGAGTGAGTTATAGGATGAACAGGGCTACATAGAGAGACCCTGTCTTGAAAAACCAAAGCAAACAAGCAAGCAAACAACAAAAAAAAGTCATCTATAGATTCAATGCAATCTCTATCAAAATTCTAATATCTTTTTCCAAAAGTGGAAAAGCTGATTCTCAAATTTATAAGGCACTCCCAATGGGCCAAAAAAAACAAAAAACAAAAACAATTTAATGAAGAAGAAAAGAAGGTAGGGGACATACACTTGCTATCTTTAAACTCATTATTATGATCAAAATGGATGGAGAACCAGCACAGGATAAAAGTAGGTGGAGTAGGACTGAGTCCAAAAATAAACCAGCACCCAGGATCAGTTGAATTTTGGTAGAGATGTCATACAATTCTATGTACAAGCTGATTGAATATAACCTTACAAGTGAGCATATGTGTTTCTTCATAGCCTTAGATTAAGCCAGTTTCTTAAGTTTCAAACCATACCATAATCACAAATCATTAATATCATACAACATCACAATGATAAGCAATAAAAGAAAAATAAATTATACTTCATCAATTTTTTTAAAGTTATACAGTGAAGGACATGGAATATAACTCCAAAAATGGGAGAAAATACAAATTACATATAATAATTTCTGATAAAGGTCTACTGACTAGAATCTATTAAAAAAATATTATAACTCAACAATAAGACAATCCAATTATAGGATGGTCAAAGGATTTCAGTAGAGATTTTTTCCAAAGAGGATACACAGGAGCAGAACCATTTAGGATAATGCTCAATGTCATGAGCTAAGCCGGGGACTGTAGACTACCACCACAGGGCCAGACCACTTCAGTAGGACAAACATGAGCAAAAAAACAGTGGCAAATGGCCTGAAAATGTGGACAGTAGAAAACCACCATCTCCATTTTTACACATATTTACAAAGACCTGAAAACAGAACACACAATAGCCTGTAAACTTGGCCAGGGAGACAGTCCAATCAATAAAGTACTTGCCACACAAGCGTGAGAACCTGAGTTCAATTCCAACAACTCACATAAAAAGCTAGACATGGTGGTGTGCACTTGTAAGCCAGGTCCTAAGGGGGCCAAGAAAGGTAGATATTTGGGATTTGCTGGCCAGCTAGTCTAGCCTAATCTAAGAGCCCACGTCCAAGTGAGAAACTGTCTCCAAAGAAAGAAACTGGGGATGGGAGGGTGGGGAGGGGGGAAGGGGCAGTAAAAGGAAATAAAATCAGTGGACAGAGGAGGAAGAATACCCAAGGCTGATCTCTATTCTCCACACATGCACACAAACACATATACTAACTTTAACACATAATTTTTTAAAATATTTTATGGGACCACACAAGCATGAAGAACCTTGTTAGAATAGGTTTCCTCTAGTCAAATATGGAATAATGATGGATTGATTTTAGCCCACTAAAAAAGGAAACAGAAGCAATGAACCAACAATTGAAGGAAAATAAAGCTTTTCTTACAGCATATCAAATTAAAAAAAAAAACTATAGCAATCTACAGATTCAATGCAATCCACATTAAAATCCCAACTCAATTCCTCAGAGTTAGTAAGAGAACTTCTCAAATTCATTTGAAATAACAAAAATCCCAGGATAGCAAAAACTATTCTCAACAATAAAAGAACTTCTGGAGGAATCACCATCCCTGACCTCAAGCTGTACTACAGAGCAATAGTGACAAAAATAGCATGGTACTGGTAGAGACAGGCAGGAAGATCAATGGAATAGAATTGAAGACCCAGAAATGAACGCACACACCTACGGTCTCTTGATCTTTGACAAAGGAGTTAAAACTGTCCACTGGAAAAAGGACAGCATTTTCAACAAATGGTGCTGGTTAAACTGGAGGTCAGCACGTAGAAGAATGCAAATCAATCCATTCTTATCTCCTTGTACAAAGCTCAAGTCCAAGTGGATAAAGGACCTCCACATAAAACCAGATACATTGAAACATAAAACCAGATACATTGAAGGTGGGGAAGAACCTTGAATACTTGGGCACAGGAGAAAAGTTCCTGAACAGAATACCAATGGCTTATGCTCTAAGATCAAGAATTGACAAATGGGACTTCATAAAATTGTGAGGTTTCTGTAAGGCAAAGGACACTGTCAATAGGACAAAATGGCAACAAACAGATTGGGAAAAGATCTTTACCAATCCTACATCTGATAGAGGGCTAATATCCAATATATACAAAGAACTCAAGAAATTAAGACTCCAGACAACCAAATAACCCTATTAAAAATGGGGTACAGAGCTAAACAAAGAATTCTCAACTGAGGAAACTCAAATGGCCGAGAAGCACCTAAAGAAATGTTCAACATCCTTAGTCATCAGGGAAACACAAATCAAAACAACCGAGATTCCACCTCACACAAGTCAGAATGGCTAAGATCAAAAACTCAGGTGATAGTAGATGCTGGTGAGGATGTGGAGAAAGAGGAACACTCCTCCATTGTTGGTGGGACTGCAAGATGGTGCAACCACTTTGGAAATCAGTCTGGTGGTTCCTCAGAAAATTGGATATAACATTACCTGAGGACCCAGCTATACTACACCTGGGCATATACCCAGAAGATGCTCTAACATATAACAAAGATACATGCTCCACTATGTTCATAGCAGCTTTATTTATAATAGCCAGAAGCTGGAAAGAACCCAGGTGTCCTTCAACAGAGGAATGGATACAGAAGATGTGGTACATTTACACAATGGAGTATTACTCAACTATTAAAAACAATGAATTCGAGAAATTCTTAAGTAAGTGAATGGGACTAGAAAATATCATCCTGAGTGAAGTAACCCAATCACAAAAGAACACACATGGTATTCACTCACTGATAAGTGGATATTAGCCCAGAAGCTTGAAATATACAAGATTCAACTCACAGACCACATGAAGCTCATGAAGAAGGAAGAATAACTGGGGGTGCTTAGGTCCTTCTTAGGAGTAACAAAATACTCAAGGGAAAAAATATGGAGACAAAGTGTGAGACAGAAACTGAAGGAGGGGACATCTGGAAACCATT